TGTTGTGGCCCTCCCCCTTTCGAACATCTTGCCCCTGGAGGTGAGACAGGCTCCCCCACTCCAGGCCTTTCGGAGGGATTTGAAGACCTGGCTCTGCCATCTGGCCTGGGGCGGGGAGGGAGAATATCTGAAATGGAGTTGGCTGGCCCCTTAGCGGCCTGGTGTGGCCCCTATCGGCCTCTTGGATTTTTTAGCTTTCTTATGTTTCTAATGTTTGGTTTTTATAACTTTTAATTGTATTTATGTTTTTAGTGTGTTGTAAGCCGCCCAGAGTCCCCCATTGTGGGGAGATTTTTATAACTTTTAATTGTATTTATGTTTTTAGTGTGTTGTAAGCCGCCCAGAGTCCCCCATTGTGGGGAGATTTTTATAACTTTTAATTGTATTTATGTTTTTAGTGTGTTGTAAGCCGCCCAGAGTCCCCCATTGTGGGGAGATGGGCAGGGACAAGTTAAATAAATAAAATAAAAAATAAAATAAACTACATGACCATTGTTATTACAGCAGCCTGCTAAAATTTCAACAGACCTCCTTTTCTTGCTGTGATCTGTGACCTATGGTCAGATACAGTGGCAAAGAAATAAATATTTTTAGAGTGTAATGAGCAAATTTATGAGCTATGTTTTCCAAAATCTCTTTGAATGTCATAATTGCCCAAGGCTGCAATCTTATACCTTCCTATTAATGGGATTTACTTTTTGATAAACATTATAAGATTTTACCATAAGCAATTTATACAGGAAAATAAATATTTCAAATTCCTACATTGATAGGAATTTATATGATTAACAGTTTTATTTTTTTATTATATGTTTTTAAAGACAGATTATTGCATACAAGCTTTTCTCCTATGTGTACTATTTCCTCCTGAGACTTGAAAATTGGTTTTATATTAGCAACACTATTGCAGACCATGCCCCATAATGATTTTAGATACTATATATTCTTCACAATTGCTCAGTGGCAAATACAAAGGAAAAATAAAATATTCTGGCTTGAGCTCCTTTATTTCTTCTCATGTTTAAAAAAACATCTTCTTTTAAAGTGAAAATGGATGTGTTTGACTGCTGTGCTATATTTACTATCTGTTACTCTTTTCTAGCTCCTTTACACAGACAGAAATTTTGTAATCTGTGCACCAACTGGTTCTGGAAAAACTGTAATGTTTGAGCTTGCAATTACCAGATTATTAATCAAGGTGCCAGTACCTTGGTTAAATGTTAAAATTGTATATAGTAAGTATGCTGCATGTTGAAATTATTATTATCGCTGATAAAATTATTTTTGCTTGATGTTTTATGTTGTGTTTTGGTCATTGCATATAGTCTTATGGCAGCAACAACACTATGTTTATACATCTTAAAGATGTTTTGTTTTTTGTTTTGTAGTTGTGCATAATGTTGTCGACTTATCCTTTCAGAAGTTTTGATTTGGAAGGCCTCTTAGGACAGCAGTTAGAAACCTATGCCTCCTCCCAAATTGATTCAGTGGGCAAGGTTGCAGATATAGGAAGATCTTCCTCCAAAGCTTAGTCCTCTGGGCTAAACTTTGCTTACTGTGTCACTTTATACTGGAAATTTTTCCTGCACAGAGAAAGGTGACCCTTGTTCTAGGCAGGCAGTGATATGTAATGATTGGACTCCACTCTTTCTGCGGTACACAGAGAGGCAGAAACAGATCTGCACAGAGAGTGGGATTTCCTTTGCATTCATTGCCTTTTTTCTGTAAAAACATTTATTTTATTGGTTTCAATAGCAAGGAAAATAAATCCAGAAGCTTCAAGTTTGGCAAATATTTTTGTACTTTCTGGCGGCATGAGAAATAAAGGGGCTTGGATCCAGCAGATGTAAGGTCTCACCTAGTCCTTCTCAATATGTCAATTTCTGTACTGCCATCAGAATAATCGTTCTTTGCCGATGACAATGAAAATCTGCTGCAAAGAAGAAATTCTTAATATCTAACGGCACCACAGCTAATCTCCCCAATAATGTAGAATGGCTGTCTTTAAATGTTGATTTATTATAAAATTAATAAGTATTCTAAAACAAAAATGTATGCTTTTTTAAAACTTTAGAGAAAACTTTAAGATTTTGAAGAATATACAGGTTTCCTGAAAGAACTAGAAGACATATATGAATAATCATTGGAGTATAGCCCTGAAAGTAATTGTGACATTCAAAGGAATTTAAGATCTTAACTTGTGAAAAAAAAAGTGGAAAGCTCTGGAAATATTTTGTGGATGCCTTGTTCTCTCACAACACTTGGTATTGTTTTTAGTGGCTCCAATAAAAGCTCTATGCAGTCAGCGTTTTGATGATTGGAAAGAAAAATTTGGACCCATTGGACTCATCTGTAAGGAACTAACAGGAGATACAGCAATGGATGACTTATTTGAAATACAGCATGCTCACATTATTTTGACTACACCAGTAGGTTTCAAAATCTAGTTAATATTGGTTTTGTTGACTGGAAATATTCAGTACCATTCAGGTTATTTTATGTTTAGAAATAAATCTGATCAGTCTCTAGTTGATTTACCTGTAGCTGTACTATGAATTTGTCACATAGCATGCATGAGAGGTTTCTTTGCTGCTACGTAGAATAGAGTTATACAATAATTAAATCTGAAAAGTTAAAATGCAGCATTGCTTTGTACAATGTATTGGATTACTCTGAAATTCTGTTTGAATTTGATCTGCAGTCCTTTTTTTTTTATAAAAATGCTGCTAGCTTGGAACAGAGACATATTGAAATAATTGTCAGTATTTATAATGCTAAAGTTAATTGCTGGCTGTAGTAATAATATTGATTGACTGTATCAACAGTATCTTTTTAAAATTCCTATAAAATTGATAATTTAGATTGTACTACAATGTTATTTTTTTCTATTATCCTTTAGGAAAAGTGGGATAGCATGACTAGAAAGTGGAGAGATAACTCTTTAGTTCAGCTAGTGAGGCTTATTCTCATTGATGAGGTAAAGTAGTAACAGATGACTTAAAATATAAAGAAAGAAAGGAGTAGATGTTTTATATACAGTTGTATTTAATTCCATAGGTACATGTTGTAAAAGATGAGAGCCGAGGTGCTACTCTTGAAGTTGTGGTCAGCCGGATGAAAACTGTTCAGTCTTCTTTCTCACAAAGTTCTGACAATCCTAATTCAGTATTACTCATGAGATTTGTGGCAGTTTCTGCAACGATTCCAAATGCAGAAGATGTAAGAATTATGAATTAACTTTTCTTTTTATACTTCAAAAAGCTTTTTTCTCTCTGTTCCACTGCTTGCTATCTTTGTTAACATCCAAAGAAGAGAAATGTTGACAATTGTCAATTGATTTCTTTATTGTTGTAAAGGAAAGACAGTTGTGATAGTTTAAAATTAATGAGATGTTCTGGGATTCCATTTTCCTAAGGACATTCCACAATTCGACAATCAAAGACCTTTCCATAGTCAATTAAGCACATATTGATTTCTTTTTGCTATTCTTTGGCTTTCTCAATTATCTAGCATGTATCAGCAATAATGTTCCTTGGTCTTTTCTAAAACCAGCTTGAACATTTGGCATTTCCCTTTTCAGATAGAGCTCTAATCTGCATTGATGATCCTAATTATTTTGCTAACATGAAATTAAGGATATCGTGGGATAGTTTGCGCACTCTGTTAAGTCTCTTTTCTTTGGTATTGGTATGTAGACTGACCTCTTCTAATCTGTTGGTCACTGTGGTGTTCTCCAGATTTCCTGGCAAAGTTTGGTTAGGAATTTACAGATATTTCTTCTGTTGCTTGCCATATTTCTGTAGATCAGTTCCTGTAGCCTTCCAACTTAGTAATGACCAGAGAGCTGATTAAACTTCATCTTCTAGTAGTACGAGTTGTTGTAAATAGGGAATATCTTCTAAGGTATCTTGTATGATCCTAATTAGTTTGGACATCCTTACCGTACAGTATACTCCTTCCATCTTTGTTTAATCTTCTGTGACTCACTACTGGCATCTTTTAGCATATTAATTTGAAGTTAGAACCTCCTTCTGAATTCAGAGTCTTCTGGAAGACTTTCCTTGCTTGTCCATGTTTTTCCATCTTCAATATCTTTACAGATGTAGTTGTAATACTGCTGCTTATCTTTTCTAAGCTCTCTGAAATTCTTCTCTTTTCTTCTTGGTGATTTCTACCTTTTGTTCTGACATCCAGATCAAAGTTTGCTTTCCTTCTCTTGGTCCTTGGCAGTTTCTTTTCACATCCATCTTTGCTTCTTTAATTTCATTCCACAGTTCCTCTGGTTCCTTATCAGTGAATTTCAGTACTTTAAATTGACTCCTGATCCTTGAAATGATGATCCTTGAAAATGATGAGTATATGCTCAAGATCATATCATAGAAATGGGTGGCTTTGTTCTGATTTAGCTTGACTTAGACATGCACATGAGCAGTTTGTGATCTGTTCCACACTCAGGCCCTGCCCACATCTTTTGGTTATAACTGTTTCACCTCCTTGTAACAATAATATAACCAATTTTATTTCTGTGTACTTCATCTGCTGATGCTCACGTATATAGTCACAATTTGGTCATTTGAGATCTGTTAGCTATGATGAAATCATTGGATTGGCAGAAACAGATGTTGTTCGTCCACTTCATTTCTGTTTCCTAGGCCATATGGTGCAACTATATATTCCTTCTTACTATTTCCAACTTTAGCATTCCAGTCTACAATCATAAGCAGCACATCTTGCTTGCATGTTTGCTTGATTTCAGGTTGAACTTGACCATAAAACTTGTCAACATCTTCTTCTGCTTCAATGGTTGGAGCATAAACTTGGATAATCATATTAAAAGATTGTCCACAAAGTCTAATTGATATTATTCAGTCATTGACTGCATTGGACCCAACTATTGTCTTTGTTATAGCCTTCCTATGACAGCAACTCCATTCCTTCTTTGTTGTTTTTGTCCTGCATAGTAAACATTATGATTTTCTGACCTGAACATGTCCAATTCCAGTCCATTTTGATTTGCTGATGCCTTAAATGTCAATCTGTAGTTGATCCATTTCATCTTTCACTGTGTTGAGCTTTCCTATGTTTATGCTTCTAACATTGTGTGTTCCCACAGTAATTCTGTCTTTGTAGCTTTGGATTTTCTTTCCTGTGTGGTAACATTAGCAACTAGATATCTGGAAGGCTTTAATCTAGCTGAAGCATAAATATCAATAGTACTCCAAAAAATCCTGAGCTCTTCCTCAGTAGAATGTTGAGTGCCATCCAACCTAAGGGACCCATCATCCAGCACTATGTTATCAATCACTTTATCTTGTCTATCCATGTGCTTTTCTTGGTAAAATATATGAGTGGTTTACCTTTGTCTTCTTCCACATAGTATAAAATTATTCCTTTGCTGTTGTCACTAAAATGATTATCCACCACCAGCATCTTCCTATATCACTGCTGCTTGTTTAGCTAGGATGACCTGCATATCTTGGATGACCCTGTTGGGACTTGGCATACAATCCTGACATTCTTCACTTCTCCCTTGCAGGAACACTCCCCACTATGATGAGGGAACACAGCAGGACCTGAAGGGGGAATTATATGTTTACAGCTGCATTTTCTTCCTAGAACCTCAGTCAGCATGGTTTCCATGGTTGCCAAAATATATACTATTGGATTGTGAATTTCAATCCAATAGTATGTATTTTGACAATTTCAGCCCAAAATATAGCAAAAGGATGAGTCAACATCATCTGAATTAATATTCAAACTTTGAATTGCATCCAAATACAAGGCTATGGCAACTAACCCTTATTAGACTTTTTCTAAAGTACTGTATATTTATGAGACAAAATATTATGTTTTATTAACCAAATTTTAAGATCCAAACGATAGTTCCATTATTTTCCACTGTTTTACAAATACCATTCAACTTTTCTTTTTCAAAGGTAATTGCAGCAAAGTGCTGGGGCCTCTTCCAGAAACTTCCTGGGTCTTCATATCCTGATCCTTTCTCCTGCTTTGGGGAAAACCATTTGGAAGTTCTTGCTGCCACCACCTATCTTCCAGGGGACACTCATCTGGTGTCCATGCCATGAACCACTGCACTTGCAGCTTGTTCCACTGGTTAAAAGCTCATTCAATCACTATGTCCCTCTTGATGTCTAGCCTGAACCTGTTTCACTGTAGTTTTAACTGTTAATAAAGAATACGTTCACTCCCTCTTCTGTGTGACATGATATTCAGATATGATATTTAGACTGCTGTCATCTCTCCTGATCCTTTAACCATTCTTGTAGGGTTTGGTTTCCAGGTGTCTCATCTGGTAACTTTCTGCACTTGCTCCAATTTGTCACTGTCTTTTTTGAACTGTAGTGCCAAAAGCCTCTATGTGGAGTTTGATCAGCCAGGGAAGAATGGAACAGATACTTCCCACGATCTGGATTTTGTGCTTCTTTAAATGCATCCCAAGATAGCATAATTGAAATTCTCCATTATCACTGTTCTATGCTTCTTTGGGAAAAAAAAATTAAATGTAAAAAAAAATTACTTTTAAATATTAAAAATTACACTTAATATCTGCATTTTAATATTTAAAGTGTGAAAGGAGATAATTACAGAATAATAGCATACATGAGGGAAGGAAGGAAGGAACCAAAATAAAATAGCATACTCTGTCCTCAAGATGGTGCAGGTCTGCTACCCATAAAGTGCTCTTTACCAGGCTCTTTGAAGTCACTGGAGAAGTTTCAAATTTTACAGATTACAAAAGGTTTCTAAAGAAAAATTAAAACCCTGTCTCCTTTTGAGGAAGTGAAACAATGACCAATGTTGAATATTGTAATTATTAAAAATAGACAGCTAGGTGGTCAAATATCCGGACAATTAGAATTGGATGGAATAAGGCATTTAGTGCTGATAACATCGTAAATAGCACTTTACATATAAGATGCTTTGACAGGACTGAACACAGATCAGGAGGGATTCACACAGATCTGTGATTCAAAATAATTTAAGATGACACAAAACTTGCAAAAGTTGATTTAGCATAAAGGAAAGTAAAGCTACTGACACCAAAAAGGGAAAATTTCTTGAAACAATTATCAGACACATTCAAAATATCAATCACCATGCATCAGACTAACATACCTTAAAACAAAAGAATCTAAAAGCAAAATTTTAGCCTAATCTTACCTAAGAGAGGAGGGACTTCTCTTACTGTGCTTATCCAGCTAGTTGGTCCTAACTAATCCCTGACTCCCATAGATTGCAACCTTTAGTCAGGGTTGTAGAAGCACTTCCTGTTAGCTCCTGTTGGTTCCCTAAATAATTTTGGCTCATTGTTCAGTGCCTCATCTCACCTCCAACCCAGAAACACTTTGCCCTGCTTTTACCATGGGTTCCACTCTGATCACGTAGAAATCTTTGTGTTCCTGCAAACAGTCCTTTTATGCTGCCAGAAGATTTTCTTAGCTCTGACTTGTCACCCTTCCTCACTTCCAGTATCAGAAATGGTTAGCTTTACTGTTGCCACAATCCCTCCTGCTCATGCATTTCTTGTCTGTCTGCTTCTCCTGGAAACTAGCCTATCAAACCCATGTGGCTATTTCCAGTCTTTATCTTGCTTACATCTTTCTGCAATCACTCTTTCTCTTCTGTGCATTCTTTCTCCTTGGTCCTTTCTGAGTGTTCTGCTCCCTTTCAAGTCTAGCTACATCCCTCTTATTTGTTTTAAGATAGATTTTTTTAAACAGAAGGGGAAACAATGGGGAATCTCCTCCTGGTTTTGCTCAGGAAAATTCTATCAGCACTATTACTACCTCCCAAAGGCCAGAAATACCAAAGTGTTCTCTCTAGCTAAACAAGAAGTTGTAGATCATCCCAGGTGTACATACTTGCATTTGAAGTCATGGATTCACCTGTCTGTTTGCTTAGGCTTCTAGGATATGTGTACTGGCTATTTGGTTGAATATGGAGGAGTGAAGGGTTTGTCATCTCCTACCTGAGTGAATAAGGGATCACTCATTTACTACATTCATGTTGATAACTTCTGATTCCCATGTTGCATGGAACAGCCAAATAAATCAGTGCAAATGATCTTTGAAATTGTATTGTTCTATTTTTCTCATATTTACAGTTACTGCATTTTCTACTGTTTTTCTGACTGTTATGCCATGGATGTATAAGCATTCTGTCACAGCAGAAAGACTGTGTAGGCAGTCTTTAGCAGTATTAGCTGGTAAGTCATGGTAAAAATTCTGGAACAGTACTTTGTATTCATAACACAGATAAGCACACTGAATACCCAGTACAGTAAATCTAAAAATATTTGTGCCAGTGGAGCTTTCATGATTAAAGTACAGTTCCTCTTGAGCAAGTACTTTCAGGACCGCAGCCCAAGGCACTTTTTTCCAATTTCAATCCTAACATGTTTTCTTTTCTCTTTAAAGATTGCAGAATGGCTTTCAGATGGCAAGAGGCCTGCTGTATGCCTGAAAATAGATGAAAGACATCGTCCAGTGAAGCTTCACAAAGTTGTGCTTGGATTTCCCTGCAGTAGCAATCAAACTGAATTCAAATTTGACTTAACACTTAACTATAAAGTGTCTAGTGTTATACAAACATATTCTGAACAAAAGCCAACACTTGTGGTATGCATTGTAATTTTCCCCTTAACAATTGTCATGTTCTAGTGTATATTTCAGAATTATTATAAACAATGGATTTTCTTATTTACAGTTCTGTGCCACAAGGAAAGGAGTGCAGCAGGCTGCTTCTGTACTAGCAAAAGATGCTAAATTTATTATGACTATAGGACAGAAACAAAGGTACCTTGTAATGCAGGCTTTCTCCTAGTTACTACATATGCATACTCATATATGTAGCAAAATCTCTGCCTTCTCATCAATTTATAATGGTCTGCTATAGAATCAGTACCACCAAGTTCACAGCATGTGTTGATTAGATAATGAAGTGATTTAGCTAAGGATATTTTTCATAGCACTATTTCAGGGAATGCAAATTAATAACATCAGACCACTTGCTTATGATTTAATTAAATTCATCCTTTTGTAGAGCAATTGCTTCTTGAATGCCTAAAGTAAATCTTCCCTCTGTGCTCTGCAGTTGTCATGTAATAGACACCAACAACTAGAACATTGGTACTGAATATTTTCATTGTTTTTCTAGTCTCCACATAATAGTCTTAAAAATTCCTTAAAAATACACTTCATTGATTTGAAGTCAGTTTCTTCATTGGTAAACTTACTGCTTCAGTTGCATATTCCATATAGATCTTTCTCTGTATGAGTACAGTAAAAGTATTTGGTTGGTTGGTTGGTATTTCAATTTATATAGCTGCCCATCTCAAATATATGACTTTGGGCAGCTTACAAATAAAAATGAAACAAAAAAGAATTACAGTATAAAGCCATATAAAAATCATATAAAACCATATAAAAATCATAAAACATAATCTGCAGCCATGGTATACAAAAAGTCAACAGCACTCAACCACTGTACAGGTTCTACCACACACCCAGATTTCCAAGCCTGCTGACAAAGTGTGTATTCATTGAAGAAGGAAGAAGAGTAGTTGTATGAGAAGAACAATATGCAGTTTAAAAAAGTGGAAATTTTATTTGTAGCCTTTTCTGAACTACTAATGTTTGTTTATTGCTGACATGAAATGGGTGAAAATATTTTAGTAACACTTACTTCAGGAGATAAATGGGGTTCTTCTATTTTTCATACCTGTCTAGTTTGAAGTATATCATTATGATGAAATCAAGTGGGGGGAATCTGTCAACAAAACTGTTACCTTTTTTGTATTTATTTAATGACTTATTGTAAGTGCCATATTTTCTTGTTCTCCCCTTTAAGATTACAAAGATCTGCAAATTTAATAAAAGAAGCCAAGCTTAGGGGTACGTAGGTTATGCTTACTGGAGAATTATAATTATTTATGTATAAGGAAAAAAATAATAATATTTACAGTTTGAATTTCATTTATAGATCTCTTAATTTGCGGAGTGGCTTATCATCATGCTGGAGTAGAAGTGTCTGATAGAAAAATAATTGAAGCAGCTTTTAATATGGGAGACATACCTGTTCTTTGTGAGTACAAGGCATTTCAGAATAAAAATAATTTTGATACTTTATTCTTTTAAAAAGTTAAGGGGCTTGTAAAAGTCAACATGTGATTGATTGAGTGATTATGTGCCATCATATCAGTGTTAATGCTTAGTAATCACATGGATAGAACTTCTCCATGACGAACCTGGCCTTTCAGGTCTCCCAACAATGCATTCATCACTATTGTAACTGAGTCCATCCACCTTGCTGCTGGTTGTCCTCTTCTCTTTCCTTCCACTTTCCCCAGCATTAGAGTTTTCTCCAGAGAGCTAGATTTTTGCATAATATGTCCAAAGTAGGATAATTTGAGCCTGGAGTTCATTATTTTTACTGGGATAATCTTAGTTTAAGAAATGTTAACTTGTAAAAATGGAATTTGCCATGATAGGTTATAAATGTGGTGAGTGGGCAGGAGGACAATTTGGCTCACAATTCACTTTCAAAGGTAAGGCTTAGATTTAGGCGTTTTCCCCTTTTTCACTTAAAAATATTGAAGTTAAGTCTCACTTACAGTGAGGTGTTTTGTTTTGTTTTTTGCACTGTATTTTTATGTGCTGTCATTTTTATTTTTTATTATATTATAACTATGAGATTCCAAAGCTGGAAATGCTCTGGGTTTCTATGAATTTCTAAGAGGGCCTGCTTGTGAATTAATAATTATATATAAAAAAGATTGCTATTCAAGGTTATCTAAATGCAAAGGCAGCACAGCATGGGAAAGTGAATATGGTTATGGACATGAACAAGAGGGCTTGGACTCAAATTCCTATTTAGCTGCATGTTTTCTGAATTTTAGTTTAGCTAATTCAGGACAATCAGGTTTACAGGGCTAAAACAGTATAACTGCACATATGCTACCTTGGAAGAATATGAATAAATAAATTATATGTGTATTTCTCATTAATCCTTTAAAAACAGTTGATAACTAGTTTTCCAGTAGATCTTTAGAACAAATATGTAACTACTGTCCAAAGTCACTGAAAGATATGTTATAGCAGGTGGAGCTGGATATATTTATTTAATTATTTCATTCCTATTATATAATAGGTCCTATTATATTTCCAAAAGATAGCTAGTAGAATATATTTGTACAATGTTATGGTCTGTGATTTTCTGGCAGGTGGTATTTTTTGTATGATTAGCAATAATTTATTTGTGTCTAAAGCTTTACTGCTAATAATACTTTCTAGTATTGGGATCTTTTTGTTCACTGAATTTGGTTTTCTTCTTATAGATGTTTCATTACTAAACTAGTAACATCGTCAGTGTTTTGACACAAGCAAGTGGGGTTTGTTGGCTTTTATGTGTGTAAACTGTACTCCCTTGTGTCAGAGCACTGATGATGTTAGCTAGTTTGGTAATGAAACATTGGAAGAAGAAACCAAGCTCAGCAAACATCAGCATCCCAACATTTTAACCCTGAGCTACAGATGTTCTCCACTTTCCAGTGTTTTAGATTTGTGTGCCAACAGTGGACTAGATACTTACACTGTTGCTGCATATGATATATACAGAATAAAATATCTTGCTACAGCATGACACAGTATACTTGGTTGAAATAATAGGGGTTGTGTCAGCAGAATATAATATATAATGTTATAAGATGGAGAATTGAATGAGTAAGCTTAAAACTTTTTTGTGTCACTCCATTGTATTGAAAGAGAGAAAGTTCAATGCATTACAGAAATATACTTACATCTACTGCTTTCTAAACCTCATCTCTTGTAACAGTTTGATTATTTGATGTTTACAGTCACTACTAGTACACTTGCCATGGGAGTAAATTTACCAGCACATCTGGTAGTTATAAAATCAACAATGCATTATGCTGGAGGAATGTTTCAGGAGTACAGTGAAACTGATATTTTGCAAATGATTGGAAGAGCAGGAAGACCTCAAGTAAGTTGGATTTTTCTTCAAGTTTTATATGGAACTAGTAAAAGTTAGCATTTTAATATATTTGCTTTTTTTTTTTTTTTTGATGCTGATTTTGTCATTGCTAACTCTTAGCAACTACCTGGACTAGTCCCTGCAGTTTTCCTGCCAAGCTTTCAGAAATGGTTTGCCATTGGCTGCTTCCTAGGGCTGAGAAGGTTTGATTGGCCCAAGGTTACCCAACTGGCTTTGTGCCCAAGGTGGAATTAGAACTCACGGTCTCCTGGTTTCTAGCCCATGCCTTAACCACTACATCAAACTGGCTCTCATATTTGCTATAGTAATTATGTTTTAAGTGAATGTTCTACCATCTTATTTTTAAAGTTTTTTATTACCACTCTAGAGCTATTGTTGAATAATTAATATAGCTTTGTTTACTAGAAAACTCATAGATGTTGCTAAGATTTGAAACTGCAGATTAAATATGTTTCTGAATTAAGAATAATCTGTAAAACATCAATAGAAAAAAGAATTCTCATATAAGTATCAGCAGTTCATACTGTTTGTTGTAACATTTGGCTAGAGTGCTCTAATTTTACATGTTAACTTGTGCAACTGACAAGCAAGGCTGTAAGGAGTGTGTATATGAAGTGTATTACTCTGTAATGGAACCAATCTTCTATATGTTTTTGTTCCTAATACTGGTAACTTTAATATTTTGTGCAATTTTCATATAATTCTATTCTTAGACAGAACCAAAACTTGATACTTTTAATGTTCTTTCTGTGAGCTTATTGAAGAAATTATTAGAGCAGTGTTCAGCCCATACTCCTTATCAAACATATATATTTCTTAAATGAGAGCCCTGGTTTTATACTTATTTATAATATTGTAATACAGGGTGAAGCATAATCCTTGCTCATTATCTTTGTAAAGTGTTTCTTTAACTGAAGTGAACTTTAAACTAAACACTTTAAAGTCAAAGTGTTTCTTTAACATATTTGAGCTTCAGATGTTCCCTATTATGATTTTCAATAAAAAATAATAGACTTGGGAAAATAGTTCCTTGATTTAATATTATAATAATCTTTCCTAAAGCCTTCAGAATTACAAACCCCAAAGACTTCAGTTTACTTACTTTCTATTATGCTTGAAAGTGTACTGTATATATTTTTCTGCAGTTTGATACAACAGCAACAGCAGTTATTATGACAAGGCTAAGTACAAGAGACAAGTATGTTCAAATGTTAAATGGTGCAGATACAATAGAAAGCAGGTAACTTAAATTGTTTTTAGTGTGCAGTTAGAAATATTGTCCACATTTGTTTGATTATCAGTAAGAAATGTTTCTTTAGGATCATGAAGATTGGCCAGTGAGGAAAAAAGTTTGGAAAAACTTTGTCTTTCAAGCATGTAGCAGAATAGTAAGCAATAAGGCAAATAATTCACGCAGCGTTTTCACTGAAAGTTTACTGTAATAATCTGAATAGAAGAGGAACAAGCTTTTGTTGCAATTCTTCATATGCATTTTAAGGTTATTTTGCTGCTGCTAGATGGGAAAATCAGCACTGGATACTAAAAATGGTGATATGCAAATTCTTTATTGTCCTACTCCCAAAGTATGAAGTAATTTGAATCTGAATCTGGGCCACTATGTAGTCATGTCAAATTATATAAAACCCTGCATATGTAAGTCATGGAAGACGTGGAACTCATAAAACCCTGTTTGGGAATCAACCTGCCCTGTATAAGAGAGATATGGTTGGGCCCCAGCTTCTTTCCAGTAGGATACTTCATAGTTGAATAGGCTAGGGGAAGCAGTATGTTTGGAGTCCATAAAAACTTATTCCTTACCAAGATAGCTATATAAGAACTAGTTCATACTGAATATGTGTATATCAAGCTTGCGTCCAGGAATAATTGGGGATTATATTAGTGTACCAAATATGATATTATCTAACAGAGTACATGACTGAGCTGGCAGAATGGGTTTTTAAGCCCCTTGGGCTTATGGTGCTAAATAACTCTTCACAATGGGCCTGATACGAGTAAGAAGTATGAAGCTATCCCAAATGATCACAGGGCCAATATGTTGTTTTAATTTTTTGTTTGGCACATCTATAAGCCATCTGCTACCTTAACAGCCCAGGGCAGCATCCAGAAATATAATTAAAACAAAACACATTAAAACAATAAAACAACACAATTTTAAAATGTTAAAAACAGTTCAGATAAAAGGTTAAACAGGTATTTCTGAGCTCTCTCCTAATTTGTACTGAGGGGGCTTCTTCCAAAGATAGTTTGTTCCATAACCATGTCCTGCCACAGAGAAAGCAGCATCAATCATTGATGTCAGATGCATCCTGTTGGTAATCTAAGCACGGGGGATGGACTATACAATATAGACAGTCCTTTAAGTAAGAGTTAATACACCATTATGCACCCCTTCAGTTGGGCTCAGGAGGGAACCAGCAACCAGTGAAATTGTTGTAACGTGGGGTTATCTGACACCTTTGAAAGGCATCAGACACTACTTGTGCTGGGTACCTATTCTGAGCCAGCCACAATTTCCAGAATACCTTCAAGGCCTACCCCACAAAGAGTGCACTGCAGTATTTCAATCCTAAGGTAACAAGTATGTGAGTCATCAAAGCCAGATTTCCTTCCCCCAGATAGGGATATGATTTATCAGCTTCAGCTGATAAAAGCCCTCATCACCACTGATGTTATGTGCCTCTTTAGCATCAATGCTGGATCCAGGAAGACCCCAGAATCATATACCTGATCCTTAAGGATAAATGCATCACTATTGAGGACAGGCATTTTTCTCAAATCCTGAAGTCCAATTCTGGACCCAGAAACAACTTCATCTTGTCCAAGTTGAATCTCAATTTATCTCTTATCCAGTCTCTTACTGCCTGGTGACTTTCAGAGGCCCTGGAGACACTCCAATCTCAAGCTCCCAGAAAAGTAAAAGTAAAGTAACACTGTTGACAATGATCCTTCAATGGATGCAGTGTTTTTCATCAAGGTATTAAATCATACTGAAGACAAGATGAAATCTTATAGAACCCCACAGGCTAATTCCCAGTGAGTTGAGCATAAGTCTCTTTGTGCTACTGTTTAGTAGCACCTGGAGAAATGGGAACAGAACCTTCAGAGATAGTAAAGCAGCATCTCCAACCCCCAGCTCCATCAAGAACTCCAACAAAATACCATAATCATCATTATCAAAAGTTACCAAGAGATCAAGAGGTGTCAACAGGATTGCATTCCTGCATATGTCATTAGGGTAACCAAGACAAATCCATGTTTAAACTCAGATTGTTTCATATTTAATTTCATGTTTAGAGCTGCAGTGTCTCAAGCTTCTACCACCTGAGTAGAATATTTAGCGTACCTGAGGTCTTGATAAGGATTGCTACTTAGACTGGAAATGTTAGTTAGAGAATTCAAGACCCAGACTGGTCTCTGGAAGAATTCAGGCCATACTAGGCCTGTGCTGAAGGCTGCCAGGTTTTTTTCCTGGATGACATACAAAATTTCTTTAAGCTCTCCCATGAAGAAATGAAACCAAATATTGATCTTTTAATATTTAACTATTACTTATTTAAACTTATTATTCTTTTAAATATTTATATTTTAAGGGGTTCAGCACTAGATCCCAAATCACTAGTTATCTATTTAAGAATAAATTGTATTGCTAATAATATATATTTTATGCATTTAATTTGTATCTTGTTACTTATTTTCTTTCCCTCTGTGTATGTGTGTGGGTGTTTGTGTACGTGTATTAGTTTGCACAAACATCTAATTGAGCACCTAAATGCTGAAATAGTGCTTCACACCATCACTGATGTGAACATAGCTTTAGAATGGATGAGATCGACTTTCCTCTATATCAGAGCTTTGAAGAATCCAGCTTACTATGGTAGGTGGCATTTAAACTTTGTGAACTGCAGTAGACAATTAAAATGTAGGGTGGTGTGATGTAATGCTTCGATTAAGGCTGCGCTCAGGGAGATAAGCATTGCCTTAGCCTCCAGCAGGAGCATGGGAAGATTAAGAAGATAAGACTGGCACCACCCTAAGGAATTTGCAGGGTTTTGCTTGCTGGCTTGAGGAGTTTAGATTCAGTCTGGCAGGGTTTTGTCTGTGGGTGGGAGCCAAAAAAAGC